GATACACGTGGGCCCGCATATACACCTTTTCCTTTGTAGTTAAAGACATCCTTATTCTTCGTGTACCTTGCGATAATAATTGCATCTTCAAGTGGCGGGATGTCACTTACGCGTAAGAACGATTTATGTACGTTTTTATTTATGTTAACACTTCTTTCTTCAGAAGTCGGCCATTGGATACCTGCTTCTTTTGAATGAGATAAGATCAGTTGTAGTTGAATGCAGAAGAATTAGATTTACGCTTACCGAATTCACGGCAACGCGTATATAAAAGGTGTCCTGCGAATCGAACTAAAGAAAATCCACGGGTATTTCTCGCCCGAGAAAAAGAATGAATTGAGTAAGTAAACAAAGGGAATAACATATTTTATTGTAGTTTCAGAAATGTCCATTTTTTTACTGTGCTCAGCTTTTTACTTAGAAGAATTTCAATTGCTGATTCGGTCCATTTACCAGAAGAAGGGAGACGTTTCTTGTTCTCATATCGGAAGGTTAATTAAAACTGGATTTGAATACTTTTGGTTTTAGAGAATATGCACATTTTAAACATTTGATTAATTTGAGAGGAAGACTCGAAAAAAATGACTGGTGAGGAAAAAAAGTGAATGAAAACTCATTCGTGAGTTTAACATTAATTATAATGGTGAAGAGGAAATTGTTTAACGAAAGAATAATCTGGAGGGAGTGTTAAAATCATCATTATTGTTAGACACATACTCTTAGTCACTTGTTTCAGGCAACAAAAATTCTATTTACAGTTCTTGTCCATTGTTTTTTTTTCTGTGTTGATGTTTACTGTTGTTTCGGAATAACTGCTGCCCTCATCTTCAGCACTGGAGATGAAAGCAGTACTTTGGTATCTGCTTACAAGTCCACGCGCCGATACAACCCAGAACTGAGCGTTTCCCTTGATTTTCCTTCGTTCCTCCAAGCAAGTACTGGGATCGTGCATCAAATTTGATTACGTTCGCTTCCTTCCGTATCCTTTCCTATTAATTATTTACAAATCCTATCATTCGACGCTGTAGTATAGTTTTTGCTGTTGTCAGAGTCGATAAAGCGATCATAAATACATGAAAGAGACAGTTTGTGAAAGGCTGCGATAAAAGTAAGACGTCGGATGAAAGTGACGAAAGGCAAACATTTCCTAAAGAAGAGCTTTTCGTGCAAGGATATTACATTCTTTGCACATGGGACGACATTATGTGAGTAAGCAGACGCTTTATGGAGAAATGTCCCTTGTTCCGCTTAGCTTTAAGTTATGGGCTTGCATAGTAGACACGATATTTCTTTTTGGTGCATAAGGTGTTTATGATAAATTACAACTACCCCAGAAGTTCTACTTAACATCTCCAGAGAAGAAGTGGCCGTGCAGTGTTCCCTCGTCATCATCATCATCACAGTTTTTTCTTCAAAACGTCTCTGTTAGTTAGAACACGACAGCGTATTAATTGTTTGTTTCTTAATTTGTTTAATGACATATATAGGCCGTATGTTCATATATATGTATATTTCCGGTGTAACAATGTTTATACATTTTTCCGGTATCCAAGGTTATTTCTCTTTGATTTTTTAACATTGTTTTTTTCCCCGATGAATGTGGAGTTGGCCCATTGCATCAACCTCCAACCTGGAGGACCGGGTAATTTTTTTTTTCCAAGATTTTCTTCCTTTAGCCTTTGATAATCCAATATCTCACTACAAGGCAGTAGTTGCTACTTTTGGTGCGCTCCGGGTGTTTTATTTCCTCGGTACTCACCATATCTGGTGAACGTTCCCCTATCCTCCACCTGGGAGAGTAGCAACTCCACCCGAGTGCCGTATGTCCTCGAGTATAATATTTGGATGCCATCAAATCTCAATTTATCGCGACTAACACTCGGGCTTCAGACTGGAAATATCTGGACTATGGAATCGTCAGTTCAGTGTATGTACTGAGAATAATGCCAATGCATTCGTTTGCTTTTGAGGTGCAGGAGTTTTGTACTTCACAAAGTGACATGATAGTGCATCGTTAGCATAGAGGAAGGGAATGGGAAGGCGTGAGATCAACATTACCAGAGACGAGGAGTGAAAGTTGGGAGAGAGGAAATTGTATGCGAGAATCTTGTGGATGAAAGTAATAAAGACATTCGTGTCTAATTTATTTATTTGTCCTATGCATGCTACGCTCTCAGCCCATCTAATACGCCTTAATCTTATCACCCTAATAATTAGTTAATAGGAATTCACTAGGTTGTGATGGGTTGAACGTGTAATACGCATGATCCAGATTAATAATGCACACCTAGAGGCAAGGGTAGGCTGGAGACATAAGCGTTGATAGGATATTATTAAAGTGGATATTGAAAAAAGTGTAATGAGGTGGACAGTGCTGGCTGTTGCGAATGAGGTGGGAATGAAAGTGGGAACGATTGCCAGCTTCTCCAAAAGGACTCCACTCCATCGTGTTAGTTCAACCGAACAAAAGTAATAAGGTTAAAAATCAGTGACCAAATGAACCGAAATCGAGGTTCTAGGTGTTTGTTTGCGTAATCACTGGTCTGTTGAAATATGTAAATGTAGACTTAAGTTTCCACATTGGATAGGTAGACGTATCGAAGTTGACAGGTACATTGTGGAGTCTGAATTCCTGCATGCGGTTTGTAGCGTGTAACGAAGCGTAGACTGTAACCACAGTGATAAATGTCTTTGGGTGACTCGGCAGTCAGCATAGGTGAGGTCCTGACCTCAGCATTATATTGTTGGACCTCTCTCCTTGGAGTGAATGGCACGAATATGACCGTGACGCGATTAAGCACCTGTTACATCCTCTTGGTATTGTCCTTCGCCGGTGTTCGCGCGCCACAAACTGTCAATGTACGACCCTCTTGCAAGCTCGATCCTTTGTCCCGAACGGAGAAGAAGTGGAAGACTTCGGTTTTTATTATAAACGGCAGGTAAATATTTTATGTGGTATATCTTACGCCAGTGACACTGGCTGTAGCTACAAATTACGTTTGTTTTACATTTTCGCAATGCAATATTTCACATAGGTATGAATGACGTAATTCTGAATACTTTATTCGGAATGGTATGGAGGGAAATAGTCATACGTGTTTTCTGGCGTATTGCTCGAACTGGGGAAAAATACGTGCTACTTTATTCTGGATAGTCAGTCTCTGAGCCAAGTTTCTGACACAATCCTAATACTAAACTGGGGTGACATTTAGTTAGGTTGCGATAATATTCTAGATTAAATCACTGTGCCACTGTGAGGTAAACTTAAAGCTGTACCCATTAGAACACATGAAAGCCTGTCGTCTGTTGTTCGTTCAGTGGTTGTGGAACGAATGCTTTTAGGATCGGTAGTCACTCACCGCGAAATCTTGCGCATGCGCGTATATCGAATTCCTAGCAGGGATTTTCTCCTGATCTGTGGACTGTACGTGAGATCGGAAGGAAGGTGGGTACCAGGTAGATAAATAGATCGTTGAGATTTCATCTTCTCTCTGCGACGAGTATGGAGATGAATGCCTTAAGGTGGCGACTGACTTGTAACATTTACTCGTAATGTAACATTCGCGGCGAGCATGTTACATTACACCACAACTGGTGAGGCGCATCGAATGCTCGTTTTGAACGCTCGGCTCGACTGTGCTCGTGTGTGCTCCATTCATTTCATTCAATATGTCGGACGTGGAGGTTGTGTTATCTTTGTTTCATTTAATACGCTACTGTTATCTAAAGAACTCGTGAATGCTCGTTATGACGCCGCTCGATTGACTGACTGACTTGTAATGTAACACTCAAAGGTATTCGCGAAAAATCCGACAACACGATGGAGCGCCTGCGAGCGTGAGCGGCTCGCATCGAGCGGCTCCGTTCGCTGTCTTCACTTGTGTAATGCTCGATTTGTAACACGTTACATTACAGGCAAATGTTACAAATCAGTCGCCACCTTTATGTGGTGTT